CATGGCGAAGAACATAGCCTTGGTCATATCTTCACATTCATGGCACTTCCTGGCGGTGTAGTCGGTTATTTCATTTATCCTAAACTTGGTAACATTCCAGTCCCGGAGCAACTATGTGATTTGTTGTTCTCGGGCTTCTAATACTTGCACGTCCCCGTCTTTTTGATTTTGCAAGTTCACCACATCCCCTTCCAACTTATTAAGCATTGCATAGCAATGTTCCCTTTCCATCTTGAAATCTTTAACTGTTGGCCCATTTCGTTTTCAAGAACAACTAACGCTGTCCTTAAACCTGCGACCTCTTCGTTGTAGATTTGCTTTGCTTGGTGAGCTAACCTCATACATTCCTCCAAATATTTTCCCAATTGGACTATCCTTTCCCTAGCCTTTTGCCAATTCCTTTTCGACCTTTGTTAGATCGGTTGCATGATCATACATTTTTCGCCTCAGGTTGATAATGATTCTTTGGTCTATTTCACTCCTCACAGGCGTCTCGGCTGCTATTTTCATTTCTCGTAGTTGGGCTCAGAGGGCCTCATTTTCTTGAGCTAACCTTTCCTTTTCTCCCCCGTTCTTGGCAGCTTGCAAACCACTTTCAAATTAAGGGCTCTCACTTGATCTTTTAGTTTGTTGAACCCGATATTCCTCTTCTTTGGCTATCTAGGCCCACTATTCTTTTGCCCCATATGTGAAATGTTGGACATGCGGCATTTTGGAGGGTCTTTCCGGCTCTTGATATACCCAAACTTTTTCACCATACCATGTCGTGTAGCTAGACTCTACTTCCCCTGACGATAAATCGTGCACCTGGGTATGTGGCTCAAAAAACCAACACTTATGCCAAGCAAACCATTTCTTCGGGAAAAGCAACCCCTAGGCATAACTCCACAACCTACGTACTCAGATCTTCATCGTGGGGAACCATCCGATACCTTCCCAACTGGCGCAAAACCCGATGTGGGGCATGAGGCTGAACACTTCGAAGACCCAGTAATACCTGAAAGCAGACATCGGCAAACAAGTAAATAACCTCATTAACCGAGAGACAACTGAAAGTCCACTCACTTTGATTTGTCGTTAATGAGCAAATATGCGTGAACCAAGCTTCAGTACCATCCGGCAACTCATAACCACTTATCCTGGTCCCATATTCCTCAATGCAACTAAGTCTGGTTAGCCCATAGTTCATGTATCTGGGGCGGTGGCAAGATGCTCTACCAGCCAGATTTGCAACAACAGATTACAACCCTAAAAAAATCTCGTTTTAGCTCTACAATATGTCAAGGCGCGATAAATATTTGCGAGGATCATCGACACGAGAGTACCATTGGACTTCTTAATCAGAAAGTCATCAATCCATACGAGGCGCAAATCTCTATGTTCGTCCTCCCTTGGGAATAGCAGAGTGCCAAAAAATGCAACTATGAAATCCAAGCCTCTGCAGACTCCCACTTGTTTTTCTTCCCCTGGTGACACAAACCGGTGTCTCGAGCCTCAAAGTCCTTGGAATCCCCATACCGACTATACAAAAAATGGAAGGTACCGTAACCTTCGGCCAAATTTTCATTCTTAACTTGCCGACTAATGCTCAAAAGGTACAAAAATTTATGAGGGGTAACAGCTCTCGGGGCCACTGGATATTGATGCCTAAGACCTAAGTTAGATCCGGCATAACCTGCTATCTCTTCCAGTGTAGGGGCCAATTAAAGTTTGAGAAATGGAAAACATTATGCACCGGGTCCCAGAATGGTACCAGTGCCTCAATCAGATCAACGCTGAGCGTAATCTTTAGAAAACCGGTGAGACCACCCAGTGCCTTGATCACGGAATGCTGGCCGACCTCCCTCAGGTCATTCCACCATATGTGGAGTCTCGAAGGAACTTGATCTACGACCCGAAAAGGTTGATTCTGAACAGCGCTCATTTTGCACATAATCAGGGCAAAGGGTCAAAAATTCAATACTATTTTCAAAAATGGTAGCTAAATTTGAAAATTCATTTTAATAAAATCAGTGACAAAAGGGGCTATTATTTGCAGATATGGTCGTTCGACGCTTGAGGAAAGTTTTTAGGGTTGTTTCTGCCATATAGTGTTGACTTTGGGGAGAAGGCTGACTCGGGTTGACCTATGGTTATTCTTGCAAAACAGCCTTTCGGCGTCCCGAGAGAACGCTTTAAGGTTATCTCGATAAGAACGGCTCATGGTATGACCATATTTTGAAAATTTTGCCAGATTCTCATTTTTTGGTTATTTTTGCAAAAGTGGGGCTGGGCCTAGTGAAGGTTGCCTGCGTACCTCACGGCCAGTGAGGATCAGACTTATGTAGTTCGGGGAGTTTTGTCAAAATAGGGTAAACGACATGTTTGCAAATTTGGCTAATTTTGTAACGCCTTTTCAAAGCATCGGCGGAGTTTCGGGATTTTGTTATTTTGTCTCTTTTTCAAATACTAGGATTTTTAAGAATCGGGTAAATTTTCTCTCCTAACTTCCCTCTCCTAATTTTCTCGATTTCCGATCCTTATTCTAGAAGCCGATCACCATGCAAACCAGATCAAATAAATGCACAAGTAGCACGTAAGAATGCATTAGGTTGGTCTTTTATTTTTTGGGTACACCTATCCTAGACGTACCCAACCCCTATGTTGAGTCCCCTAAGTCAAATACACGTGATGCAAATAAGTGTACCTACTAAGGATCCGCCATGAGGCTTTGTTCTTCTAGGTTTAAACCTAAAGAGGTGTGGAGTTCTAGACCAGGCTTACCCGAGCGGACAACTCGAGCCGGGGGGCAGCGTACCTGAAATACAGAAGCTTCACCAGCTTTTTAATGAATCCTATCCTTATCCTAAAATTAGGGGTGAGATACTCGAACAGAAAAGAGCCACGTGTATGTGTGCTCCCAGAAGATGTAGAAGACCTAGAGAGAAGAAGGGTTGCGTAACAATTATATACAGTTCGTGCAATATTAAAGCGGTAAAGAGCGGCAATTAACACTTTAGGATCAAACATGTAAAATCGGATAATAAACAAAGAACCAAGATTAAAAGTCATCTAAGTTCGAATTCTGAACCCTGAACAAGAATTTCTGGGTTCGTGTCCCCAGCAGAGGCCCCAGAGTTGTCACACCTCCTTTTTACGAGGAAAAGAGTTTTTTCACTTAAAGTGACATTATTGAAAAGGGATTATTTAATTAATTTTAAGAGTCGCCACCTGAAATAATTATTAAGGTATTTCAAGTCAGCTGTTTATTTTAAAATCCTCATTCAAGGAAATTTGACTGTGTATAAGTCTGCGAAACACAGAAGATCGGGTAATAATTTTTCTTAACCGGGAGAAGATGTGAGGCACTCCCGAATCCCGTAGTTTTAGTACGGCCGCTTTACAATTACACGTGGCTTAATTATCTAATTATTACATATTTTAGAACCTATGTGTATTTTAAACTTTTACCGCTTTATTGCATATTTAAACCACTTTTGGTATTTATGGAATTATTTTAAAATAAGTTACGATATCGTACACCAGTCATTTTTTACATATCGTAAATCTCGCCAAGTGAAACATACCTGCAATTTACTACATGTTTAATTTTATTATTATTTTAAAGTTATAAAGTCATGTCACGCGGATGTGCACTTAAATTTGAAATTGTGTATCATGACTATGCCACGGGAACCATACCCATAGTCATAATATTTTTACTAGTCGCACCTAAAGCAAACTACGGCGTTTATAAGTTGTTTAATTTTTCTAAGTTCGGGATTATTGTGAAGGTCCAAATTATAGAATTATTTGTTGGGGATAAGATATAAAGTTAGTTAAGCTAAGTGATGTAAACGAAGAATCTATGTTAAATTTTATTAATTGTGGCAAAGATCATGTTTAAGAGCTCAAGTCCAAACATATGGACCTATTTTCAAGAAGTCCAAGAAGCTCAAGATTGATTTCAAGAAGTCAAAATTTTTTCCTTCTTAAAATAAGATTTATTTTATTCCTTTTAGAATAAGGATTTTTCTTTTTGTAGGATTCTAGTTTCTTTTCCTTGTAAAATAGAGATTTTACTTTCCTTGTCTTTAATTATTTTATTTTCTTATTAGAACAGGAATTGTAATAATCAAAGAAGAGACTCTAGGCCTATATAAAGGGTTCTCTTGCCTTGTAGGAGAGAATTCACATTTTTTGTAGCTTTGACCCTAATATGCAATAGAGTGTTTTCCTCTATTTTGTCTTCTTTATCCTTGTTTTTGATTCCAAGCAAGGTGGTGATAGTCATTATCTTATTTTTAATTACGTGTGGTATTTCTTTATCACGTTAATTGATTCCAAATGGTGACTTTAGGAACTTTTGTAGTTCTCGATCATTCAAGAATACGTTTCTTAATCTAAATTCATTCTTTTGATATAATAGAATCGGAACTTTTATTGAACCGCAACACCAATAATTACTTGTTTTGAACAAGTAAATAGTCTTTCTTATAGTTCAGATCGTCATCTTTCGGCTCGTTTTTGAATTACCATATTCCGAGTTCTAAAACTTGAGATACATTGAATCTTGAATTGATCCACAAACCAAGTTTTCGTTTCAAGATCTTGATCCTAGTTGGTTGGTTCTTTGTTAACTCGAAGAATCACATCACTAAGTTGGAGTTATTAATTAATTCCTAATCACTCAAAATTTGGACTTAATATGTGTATTTGATATTGATTAGGAACTACTTATCTTCCGAGAGTAATATTGATTGGTAATGAAAGGGGAAAAATTGGTTGAGGTGACTTATGTTTAGGCCAAGCATACTAATAGTATTGGCGTATGGGCTCAAGTGTAAAGCCCAAAGTATACTGACCCCTTTTAAAAAATGGTCAGCATACCGAAAGGGGCCTGAAAATGAGCCCTAACTGACGTGAAACCTAAAGCTCATTTAACTCTAACCCCAAAACCAGTGCATCTGGGCCGGCCCAATAGTTGCTGGAACTCGGAATCGCCAGTTCACTAATCCAAATTCAAAGTTCAAATAGGATTAACATACAACATGATAAAGTGGGGATAATTACATACTTTTCAAAATAAACACATGATTTGTTCAAATTTAAAATCAACTACAGAACTATTCTCAAAAACGTTAATACATGATCAATTAAATTCGAAATTACAGCTCTAATTCATTACATCCAACGTGATTTGAAACTTTTACCAACATCTGATCCTTAAACTAATGCTTTGCATTCTGAGATTTCATAGTGTTATAAGGTTTCAAACGATTAAAGTACTACTCATGCTTCCGAATTAGATGTCCAGATTCTCATTCAGACCTCGACTTCAAACGTTAAATGAAAAATTCGGTAGTGAGCAGCCTCGAGTCCAGTTCCTCGTATATTGTTCAAACTTACAACCCCAAGTAACATGAAGACACTGATTTTCAGATTTCTAACACATTCCATGTTAAGTTCAAAACATATCAATTTGTATATGGTTAAGAACAAACGGTCATTTTAAACTCATACACAAACAAATCTTATTAGCCAATTGAGATTTGGAATTGAGTCACCAAACATGTTGAGCATGATTCAAATTTTTACTCAAATCTACTAAGTAATTTATTTAACACAAACACGACACATAGATTGAACATCAGAAAACACAATTCATTCAAAATTTCAGTCAATTTATCAAGCAATGATACAAGTTTAAGGACATGTACCTAGGTATTTGATAATAGAACTTGAGATAGCTAAATAAAGGCAGAAACATGTGAATTAGTAGAATAGAAACAATAAAAACAGCAATGGACAACAATTCTATAGCTCAAATAGCACTCGAGTTCCGAGAAAATATGAAGCAAAGAAGCAAGAGTTGAAAATAACCGTGAAATCCCTCTTTTGTTTCTATTTTTATTTTGTTTTTAGAGCTCTTTTTGAATTCTTAGATCTGGAATTTGAATTCCAGATTTTCCTAGATGCTAGTGTGTGAGTATGAATTGTGTGAGTGAGTGAGATGGATGCACAAAGTGTGGGTGAAGGGTGCTTTATAGAACGAAATTTTGTTTTAGGTCTTTTTCCTTTCTTTTTCTTATCCCCCTTTTGTTTTTCTGATTTTACTCAATAAGGACCCAGAACCGACCGGTTTCTTTTTTTATTGCTAAATAGTCCCTTCCCCCACTTCATAGAAGCTTCATAAGCAGTTACAAAATTATTCCCTAAGTTAATTCCCTTAATTACCCATTCACCCCCTGTTATTGCATTTGATCAACCCAAATGCCCGGGCCTTTGGCCAACAGACCCATGACCCAGGTCCAAACCTTTCCTGTTAAGCCCCAAATATCAATGAGCCTGCTTGTCAATCAAGACATGCCCAATCCTTATGGCTCACCGTGCAGAGACAAAATCAACTTAATTACGAACGACAAAATTGACTACTAACAGTCCTAATCAAAAATACAATCTAGACTAAAGTAAAAAATCATTGAACCACAAGTAAACAATCCACCAGCATAACTCGAATTCCAAATTAACAATGTACTTCGTAACAGATTACTAGTGCAAAACTTATTCAACAAACCAAACCAAAGAAACAAAACAGTTGGAGAAGCAAAGAGATAGGAAGTTACCAACTCCTAAGTAACAAGAAACAAGGAGAAGCCAGTGATGCCTGCTGTATCAATTCCAACCACCAAAGTCTTTTCCTCCAAGAGATCCGGCTCGAAATTGAATTCCGGTTGGATCTTCTTGAAAGAAAAGACTCATGGGAGTCCGACGAAGGAAATGAGGACGTATACAAGTCGATTTAACCGGTGAATGACAAGTTGACCGGTGCTAAAGATGATGGAATGACCAAATACCTACACAAATAGATGGATCTTTTTGAGACCTATCTAATAGGGTAAGTATTGAGGTTTATTGTCTCAAGAAAGTTGGTGAAATCAAGGAAGGGCCAAACGTTTAGGATTTTGATGAGGGCGATGATAAAGTAGGAATTTGGACTTGATCTTGTTATGAGAGTGTAGAGGGAGAGGAGAGGATAGGAGAGGAGAAGAAAAATGGTGATTTGAGGTCATTTGGTTGACTTCGGCCAGTGGAGGCGATTTTCTGCCGGTGGCCAACAGGTGGTAGATGAGCAGCGGACGATGGGAACGATTTCCAGTGGTGGTTCGTAGTGATGGCGGCGGAGAGGGGCAAACATCAAAAAGGGATGACTTTAGGTCTTTAACTTGATTTTAGGACAGTTATATCAAAATCAGGGATCAATTCTCAACCCTTGGATTAACATGAATGGAGGGTGGAGATGAAACGTTGACCATTTGACTTGGGGTGGGGTCGTTTGTAGACGAAAACGACGTCGTTTTTTTCCAAGAATTAAGATGGGGATCTGGATTGGGTAAAGGTGGGGATTTGGGACGGATATTGGTAAACGTTGGGCTGTTGGGGGTGTTGGCCCAGTTTGTTTTAAAATGTCCAAAAATCCTTATTCCTCCTTGTTTCTTTCAAAATTAAACACCTATTCTAATTTGAATTATTTTTGCACAAATTACCTAATCATCTATTTATCTAACACTTTGACTAAAATTCAGCTAATCTCTTAGCTGATTCACTAAACTAAAAAGCAAGAAAATTATTAGTGCAATTATTTTATGGTTTTCGTTTTTTAAAGATGCAACTTTAATGCGATTAAAAATTAATAATGCAAAGTGTCTAAAGCCCCATTCTTTAGATATTTGTATTGTTTTGAAATACAATAAATATTGTAATTAAAATCTATAAATGTAAAGAGTAAAAATACAAAATATTTTTGATATTTTTATGAACTAAAAATGCAACTAAAGATGCACCAAGCACAAATACGCACAAAACATATCAAATATACGAAAAATTCTAAAGTTCTATAAAAATTAATTAAAGGCTATTTTGGAACGTTTAAGAGCAATTTTCATATCGGGCCAAAAATTACGTGCTCACAGGTATGATAGTTGGCACTTTGGATATTAATTATTTGGTCACGTGTAGAGGAGGTCGTGGGAGTTATGCGTAAGATGACTAGGGGCAGAGCGACCGGGCCAAACGAAATTCCGGTTGAATTTTGGAAGTGTGTGGGTAGAGCAGGCTTGGAGTGGCTGACCGAGTTGTTTAATATTATTTTTAGGACGAAGAGGATGTCGGATGAGTGGAGGTGGAGTACGGTGGTCCCATTATATGAGAACAAAGGTGATATCCAGAGCTGTAACAATTATAGGGGCATCAAATTACTGAGTCATACGATGAAAGTTTGGGAGAGGGTGGTTGAAGCGAGGGTGAGGAGGACGGTGTCTATATCCGACAACTAGTTCGGGTTCATGCCGGGTCGTTCTACTACGGGGGCTATACACCTTATTAGGAGGTTGGTGGAACAATACACGGAGAGGAATAAGGATCTGCACATGGTGTTTATTAATTTAGAGAAAGCGTACAACAAGGTTCCTAGAGAAGTTCTCTGGAGATGCTTGGAGGCAAAAGGCGTGCCGGTTGCCTACATTTGGACAATTAAGGACATGTATGAGGGGGCTATGACTCGGGTTAGGATAGTAGGAGGTGACTCTGGGCATTTTCCAGTTGTTATGGGGTTACACCAAGGTTCTGCGCTCAGCCCGTTCTTATTTGCCCTGGTGATGGATGTGTTAACGCATCATATTCAAGGGGAGGTACTGTGATGTATGTTATTCGCCAATGTCATAGTCCTGATTGATGAGCCGCGAACCAGTGTGAACGAGAGGTTGGAGGTATGGAGATAGGCTCTTGATTCTAAGGGTTTCAGGTTGAGCAGGACGAAGACGGAATACCTGGAGTGTAAGTTCAGTGCGGAGCCGAGGGAAGTTGGTGTGGAAGTGAGGCTTGAATCACAGGTCATCCCAATATGTTGCAATTTCAAGTACCTTGGATCGGTTATCCAAGGGGGAGGGGAGATCGACGAAGATGTTACACACTATATCAGGGTGGGGTGGATGAAGTGGAGGTTAGCATCTGGAGTCATGTGTGACAAGAGAGTGCCACCAATACTCAAAGGTAAGTTTTACAAAACGGTGGTTAGACCGGCCATGATGTATGGAGCTGAGTGTTGGCCTGTTAAGAACTCACATATCCAGAAGATGAAAGTAACAGAGATGAGGATGTTGAGGTGGATGTGCGGGCACACTAGGATAGATAAGATTAGGAATGAAGATATTCAGGGGAAGGTGGGCGTGGCTCCCATTGATGACAAGATGCGGGAAGCGAGACTCAGATGGTTCGGACACGTACGAAGGAGAAGCCCAGATGCTTCAGTAAGGAGGTGTGAGCGGTTGGTTTGGAGGGCACGAGAAGAGGTAGAGGACGGCCTAAGAAGTATTGGGGAGAGGTGATCAGGCAGGACATGGCGAGGCTTCAAATTTCCGAGGACATGGCCCTTGATAGGAAGCTGTGGAGGTCGAGTATTAGGGTTGTAGGTTAGGAGATAGTTGAGTCTTTCCTTACTTCGTCCCTTTGTGAGGCTATTCTGGTAGTTTTTCTAGTCAGCTAGCGGTAATGTTGTGTCTTACTACAATTTCATTTTTCATAGCGCCTGGTCTATACGCTGTCTATCGTTTTTCTTTTGCATCTACTTTCTCATTTTCATGATGTTATTTTTCTTATGTTTTCTATTGGAGGTACTGATATTATGTCTTTGTGTTTTCGTCTTCTTGAGCCGAGGGTCTTTCGGAAACAGCCTCCCTACTTCTTCGGGGTAGGGGTAAGGTCTTCGTACACACTACCCTCCCCAGACCCCACTAGTGAGATTTTACTGGGTCGTTGTTGTTGTTGTTGTTCACTTGTAGCCATTTTCATAATCACAAGACCCAAGAAAAAAAATTAATGCTTTGTTAATTTTAAACTTAGTATCTAAAATATATTTTTTATATATAAATTTATTCGGTACATTCGGCATATTTTAGATTTAGTTTTATAAAATTAAAAACTTAATCTATTATTTGATACGGTTATAAGTTTATATGAAAGGGAAATTTTCACATAAGAACAACTGGGCTCTCTATTTTTCAATTTTATAGCCCATACTTCAATTTACAACCAACTAGTCTAAAAATAATAGGCTAAGATTCAACATCCAACTCCAATAGGTTCTCAAAATTACTATTTAATTTTTAAAAAAGATTGTTCAAGCTTCGAAGTTAATTTTCGAATCAGTAACCGTGACTCAAATATTAGTTGAACAAACCAAATCCATTTGGGTGGTGAAAATTAAATTTTTAACAAGCTTAAATATGTGGGTTTAAATTTCGAATTTGATTTTGTGAGAAATTTGGAGTGGGTGTTATTTAGACTTGTTAGAAATAGTATAAGGAGGTTGTATATAAAATTGAAGTCATTTAATTGAGATTTGGACTGGTTCCGAACAAGAATTGCAACTGAAAATCGTGGAAGAAGTTCGTCTACAGACGCTTGTATAAAGGTGTATAAAAGTGTATAAGATGTGTTTATACACTCATATACACTATTATACAAGATTATACATAATTATACAAAAAACTGACTTCGTCTTCTTCCTTGCGTCTTTACTGAAATTTAACTCAAATCTTGCTCAAATCTACTCGAAATCACTTCAAACTTAAATTTTGAAATCCTTTTGATATTTTCAATCAATTGGAACAACACCCAATCCAAACAACTAACAAACTCAAAAAATTATATTTTCGAAAGCAAAGCTTTGAATGGCCTTCAATGGTGGACTTCTACTCTTTAATTTTTTTACATTGCAACCAGGTGACATAGGGAGAGAAGCAGTAATGGCGAACGGGCCCTAGCATATGTAAAAGATGTGAGAAGAAGAGAGAGTGAAAGCAATAGTTGTGAGAACACAAATTTAACTCCATAACTTTTAGAAGCAATGGTTGTAAGAACACATATTTTGAATTTGCAAAAGCTGATGTTTTCAAAATATGTAGAATATGTGCTAGGTCGGGTAAAGCTTAAAAACATGGGTCATTTTTTGTTATCATGTGTATTTTCTTGTAATTCTTTCTATACTAGTGTCAGAACTCGCGTGATGCGCGGATAATTTGACGCAATATTAATTTTATAAAATTATGATCTAATATATCATATTATTTTAATAAATATTAGTTATATTTTATTATTTAGTGTACATAAATATAATAAAATTTATAAAAAATCAAAGGATACAAAGCATTATAGTAAACAAATAAATTGTTTATTCTTTATTAAATTAGCAAGTACTTAGTACTATACATTTACTAATGTGATTTTTTTTATTAATTTATCAATTGGCTTAATATTTTGATACTACTTCTCTTCTAGTAGAACATACGTATATATTTTCTTATTCTGGAAATATATATTTTTATACTTATGTTATACTGTTTAAAATTCTTCAATTGTCTAAATTTATCAATAATTTTATTGAGTGTTATATATTTATATTTTATTTATTAATTAATTCAAAATATAAATATTATAAAATTATCTTTATCCGCCTCCTTTCGTACATTCTTTTCTACTATATGTTTAATTAGTTTTCTCATTTTATATTTTACTGAAAATTAAATAATATAATTTTTTTTACTAAATTATAATTTTGAATTCATTAAAAGTATAAAGAGATAAGCCTTTTATTATTTTTATAAAAATGTACTAATATTTTTACTAATTAATAAAATGTGATTTATATATAATATATTATCTTATGTATTATATCCTAATAGTTTCTTTATATTTTTGTATTTTTTATTATGAAATTATGAGTTCTATTTATTAACTAAATTTTTCTATATGAGAAATTTAATTAGTATATATATTTTTACGATATCCTTTGATTTTTTTTTTTTGTATTCCTCATTTATGACTAATCATTTATTATGATTTTAGTTATGTGTATATATGTACGACTTTTCTCATAATAATTATAATTATTTTTATACGTCTTATATATATATATATATATATNCGTGTGCGTCACCTCAACATAGCCTAACACTGTGTAATCCGGGGTTTCATACCCTCAGGACAACATTTAAAATCATTACTCACCTCAATCCAGCCCAAACTCTAGCTCGCGATGCCTTTGCCCCTCGAATCGGCCTCCGGATGCTCCAAATCTAGGCACGATCAGAACGTAACCATCAAAATATGCTAAGGGAAAAAAGCTCACTCGAAAACAATCGAAAAACAACGAAATTCCCGAAATTAACCAAACCCGACCCCCGAGCCCACGTCTCGGAATTCGATAAATTTTATATCATTAGACTCTTATCTGCCCACGAGTTCATACATATCAAAAGTTCCAAAATCCGACCACAAATGGCACCTCAAATCCTCAAGTCTAGGTCTCCAATAACAAGCCCTAGTCTCCCCAATTTTAACCCTTAGATTCCATTAATTACAGATCTAATCCGTGAAATAATATCATAGAAACAAGTTTTAGGCCCAAAAATCCTTACCTCGATGAAATCCCCTTGAAATCCTTCTTCAAATCGCCCAAAAAGCTCCAAAAACCGACTTAGCAATGGTGGAATAGCTCAAAAATCGCGAAGGAAATAATTTATACCTTCTGCCCCAGCTAAACCGCTTCTGCGGTCCCAAACTCGAACCTGCGGACCCGCACCTGCGGTCCCAGGTGCGCTTCTGCGCAAGTCACTTAAATCGCCAAACTCCGCATCTGCGACGCATAATCCGTACCTGTGCCATCACAGGTGCGGCTCCTTGACCGCTTCTGCAGTTCCAGCTCCCTTGGTCCCTTTTTGCTTCTGCGACTGCCATTCCGCATCTGCGGCATCGCACCTGCGGCCCCCAATCCGCAGGTGTGGAAACAACAGAACAGAAAAATCTGCAGCTTCACCAAACTCCCAAACTCTCCGTCAACCATCCGAAATCACCCCGAGGCCCCCGGGACCCCAACCAAAAGCACAAACACATCATATACCACCATCCAAACTTATACAAATCTTCAAAACACTTCAAACAACGTCGAATCAACCAAATCACATCGAATTCAAGCCTAAGTTTCCAAAATCTTCTGAATTCCGCTTTTGATCAAAAAGTCTACCAAACCACGTCTGAATGACCTGAAATTTTGCACACCCATCCCAAATGACACTACGTAACTACTGCAACTTCCGAAATTTCATTCCGACCCCTATATCAAAATCTCACCTATCAACCCGAAACACCAAAATTTCAATTTTGCCAATTCAAGCTTAAATCTACTCCGGACCTCCAAAACACTTCCGATCACGCTCCTAAATCTCAAATCACCTCCCGAAGTTATCTGAACCATCGGAACTCACATCCGAGCCCTCTAATACATAAGTCAACATCCGGTTGACTTTTCCAACTTAAGCTTTCTTAAAAGAGACAAATCTCTCAAACCTTAGCAAGACCTTTTCGAACCCGAGCCAACCAACCCGATCACATATAGAACCGATAAACAAAGCAATAAGAAGCAGAAATGGGGAAAACGGAGCGGTAACTAATGAAACTACCGGCCGGGTCGTTACCTGTGGCTTTTCTTTAGGCTGCCACTTGGCTTAAGGAGAGGGTTTTGTCCTCTCCTTTTAATAATATATAGCTATAGATAGATTCTAATTATTTTTATAAGTCTTATATATATATATATATATATATATATATATATATATATATATTTGTTCCTTGGTTATTTAACTGTATTATCCATTACTTAATATTGTTAAATTGACATATGGATTATTAATAAATAACACATTTAGTATAATAACTACTCCCATATATAAACACACACACACACACTATTACAACTATTTTAGAAAGAAATTACTCTCCAATTTGCATTGGTAGTTTTTTATTTTTTGTTATTTTTGTTTTTTTTATTGTAAAATAATTTTAAAACTCCAATTTGAATGAGTAGAATATTTTTTTGTATTTTCGTTTTTTATTGATAATTATAAGATATCTATATTTATTAATTCAAGTAGTGTAACCAATTAATTCAAAATTTAAAATTCAAAAAAAAGTTAGTTAGAAAAGTAGTTTATTTTGTCTTAACAATGCCACTTGGTTTTTTGTGGTTAAGACACTTGTCTTAATGTAGTGTTTTTGCTTCTCCTATTCTGTACAGATACATAGATAGATAGATAAAATCTACTCCCTCCATTCGAATTTATGTGAACCTGTTTGATTGGGCACGGAGTTTAAGAAAAAATGAAGAATATTGAAATTTGTGATCCTAAACAAGTCAAAAAGGGGTCTAGAGTATTTGTGTGGTTATAAAAGCTTCTCATTAAGGGTAGAATTGTAAGTTTAAGCTAAATTATTATCAAATTTAGAAAGGGGCCATTATTTTTGGAACATACCAAAAAGTAAATAGGTTCACATAAACTGGAACAGAGGAGTACCATTTTATTTAAAAAAAAAAGAACAAATGTAGGTTCGGTTTAACTTCCCACCGAGTAAAATAGTGTAATTACTTGCTACCCCTGCACAGTTGTGCTCGATCTCCTTCCTTTATACTAAACTCTCCTTCCACTTCGCCCCGTTTTCTCTTTTCATTTTTTATATCTGTTATACCAACTGTCATTTACGCGGCCGCCATGGAAGAAGGTTCGTCGCGACGTTCCAAACGCCCCTTCGTTGATGTTGAGGATGATGACTCCAACAAAGCTCCAACGTAACTAACTATTTTCTCCTTTTCAATTATATGTGATTTTGTGCCCTAACTTCTTATCAACATACATAGGGTTTCTGGAAACTTATATTATTCTGTACTCCCTCCATAGAAGAGTTCGGAAATAAAATTTTAACTTCTATTGATTCATAATTGATATTTGGCATATGCTTGAAAACATCATGCTGAAGAAAAAAATATTTATTTCACTATCGAAATTATAAATTGAAGCAAGAGAGTATTTTTGAATCAACAGGAAGATAATAAATAAATAAATAAATAAGGAAGCTCGTTGTTGTAAGAATCTAAGGAGCTTCGTGGAGGAATGCAGGAGCATGCACTGTTGCTTCGTTTCAGCTGCTACATATGTTTGTTTACAACGTGATATCTGCAAATGCACCCAAATTCTATTAGTTCGGTTTATGTTGAGTTGTGTCCCACATCGGTGGGTTATGGGTATCTTGGTCTCCTTATATGATCTTGGGCAATCCTCACCTCACAAGCTAGCTTTTGGGGTTGAGTTAGGCCCGAGGTCCATTCTTAACATGGTATCAGAGCCAGGACCATCCAATTATTACCAATGTTGGGCCCCCATTTATATTGTCCCCGCTCCAGTTGCAGGCCTGGGCGTGAGGGGGTGTTGAGTTGTGTCCCACATCGGTGGGTTATGGGTATCTTGGTCTCCTTATATGATCTTGGGCAATCCTCACCTCACAAGCTAGCTTTTGGGGTTGAGTTAGGCCCGAGGTCCATTCTTAACAGTTCTACTGCAAATTACTGTTGATTAACCTGCAGAAAATAGCTAGTGGAATAAATGGATTGTGTTTGAAATAAAGGGTGCTTTTGGCCTTGAGAGAACTATATACTGTAAGGAAAATACATTATTTATTCAAGACCTTACAGATGTAAGGAATTATACAACAACTATGCCTCATGCCCAAACTAATTGGGATTAGTTATATGTAATATCTATATCCATTTCCTCTGACTGTGATCATTTCATACCACTGCTCAAAAGTTCGTCTTTTACGACAAAGTAGGGATTTCTGAAAGAAGATATTCTCTAAATCTCACACTTATCCCTACACTGGCGTACACATGATGGGAATATGATGTTGGAGAAGTGTCTCCATCTAGTGTATAGCCACGATGAACAAATTATTTGGATGCCCTATTTGTTAATTTGTCCAATACCCAAAACTAATATCAAAATTATTTCTTCACTAACTATTTGTAATCTGATCGTGGATATAAGATAATTTATAAAAAGATTAGGCTGAAGTATATGTTTCTGCCTGAGTCAAGATAAGGAATAAATTGTGATTCCAAATTTGACTGGTCAATTCCTTTTTGCTTGTTTCCGCTTCAGTTAGGAAGGACAAACTGGAACTGCTTTCTTTTTCAGATCAGGGGTTGTATTTCGACGCCGAAACTGTCATGAGTTTAGTACGAGAAATGTAAGAACAGATTAGTTTTACCTGTTGTAATTTGTCCTTGTAAAAATCATGTGTTTCATGGGGCTAGGGAGTAATACAACGTCAAATTATGGGCTTCTTCAATGTAATATTGGTTGCTAAGCACCGTTAGAGACATGTTGCATAGTTGGGCCGGTTTTCGTAGGAGAAGAAGACAAAAGGCATGGAAGATTGCTCCGGTAGCACTCATGTGGGTCGTCTGGGGGAGAGAGAAATAGGAGAGCTTTTGAGGGGATATAAAATAATTTTGCACATTTAAGGAATAGTCTTTTGTCTTAGATTACTTTTTGGTGAACCCATGTAGCCCATACTTGTACAGAAGATTGGGTGTCTTTTGTAGAGTATCATGTTTTGATGTATATTCTCTACCTTTTTGGTATACCTCTTGTATACAGGAGTTTCTCCCTTTTTATTAATACCATTTACCTTATCAAAAAAACATTGGTTGCCATGCTCTATCACAACATACAATGGTTTCACTTTGATGCTGGACTTTAAGGATGTTAGCATTGATATGTTGCTTTCTTCCTCAACCTTACAGGCAGAAGCGGGTAAGGTTTCCAAAGGGTAAGAAAGTAAAGCAGGGAGATAACACGATTGAGGGGCGGGAAGATTTGCCTGGTGGGTGGAGAGATCCTCGCCTTGCAGCCAAAGAGCGTTCGGTACGGAGGAATCAGATAACAGCGGAGCTCCTTGACGAAGAAAATGAAGGTGAAATAGCTGACATATCGCGAGCAGAAGTGGAATATGGGGTTTGTTTCTTCAAATATCTTTTATAATTGTTTGCTTGTGGTTAGATTTTTTGTGGATCTCTGATTTCTAGTTCATATATCGAGATAAGGAAGTGGTATTAGGATAAATACAAACATACTCCATTTCAAAAAAAAAAAAAAAAAAAAAATAAACACAGACATTTTTGGTGCTTGGCAGTATTCATGCTGCTTTTGTATCTAGAAGAGCTTAGATACTCATTTGTACAGTTAAAACCATAATTAATCTTGATTGTCCATATAAGCGATACAAACTTGTGAAGTTAATGGCTTAGTCATCGTTGGTAAACTTATTTTTATGTTTGGTGTAGTGTACGAGTCCTTTAATTTCATTAGAGATTGTATGTCTATTGTGGTGATAAGCATGAGTTTGTGGAAATTCTAGTTTAATGAATCTATAAATATTCCCAAGATCAAATTATTGGAATGAAACGGTCCAAGATGGAGCGAAATGGATTGAGGATCAGTATTCAGATCCCCACTAGACATTGAGGTGGGGTAGTTGTTGTTGCATTTTTCTACACTACCGCACTTTATTGCGCTTTTTAATCTCTGACGCAGCAAAACATGGCAATTTTCTTAGCTTTTCGCTTTTGACAAAATTGGGTTTAACATAGCAGGATGCTCTACTGGACTGAACAGACTAGCTAGTGTATCTAGAGCATTTATATTTCTTACACGGGGAGGGAGTAGCTGGAGGGAGAGTTATTTGGTGGTGGTGGGGGGAGAGGGGGGTTAAGGGAGGATAGTGGCACATGTTAATAGATTCATATTTATTCATGAATTGGTTTGCCAAGCAATAGTGCAATAGTTATTTTATCCCTTCTAGAAATTGTTGATTTTTGGTCTTTCATTGGGTATTGAAGAAAATCAATTAATTTGAGTTATACTTGCACAATAATGTCGTGATTTTTGGAGAAAAATGTTGGCACTATTTGTTGTTTATGTGTCCAATAGAATTGTCTCATGTTGTCTTATGTGGTGTTCTTGGACTTCATGAATAGTGTGTTTTTGAACAGAGAAAAAGGGGAAAACAAGAGTTAGATTTTGCATACACTTTGATTTGCATAGAGGAGACAAAAGGAAAACAAAGAAGAGAAGAATTATCTTCTGACTTCCCTTGAATACATTTTTCCTGCCCTTAATGCTTCCCTAGCCAACGAAACAATGGAACGAAAAATTAGTGGCTTTTACTTCCTTCATTTACTTCTGTTTTGTTTTCCTTGTGTTTCCTTTCTTTTATTTAGACTCTCCAAACATAAATGATAATTATATTGCATTTGTGATGCTTCATGTGCAGTCACATTAAGTTCATGCCATTATATTGTTATTTGTTATTTGGATCTACTTATAAAACAGACTAAGAGCCCACTTGGTTTAGCTTATTATAAATAGTTGATAAGTTTTAAGTGTTGAAAAACATTTTTAAATGTTAAAACTGATTCTATAAATAAGCAGATACATGTTTAGATAGAAATGCTGAAACTGCTAACAAGTTGTTGATGTATTTTGGCAAAAAGGGCTGATAAGCCGTTCGTTTGTTAAATAACTAAAATATTGTTAAAATTTTGGCAAAGTATATAAATTTCAAAGTATCTTTATAAAGAAAAAGGAGAAACGACGAATATGGAATAAAGAGGAAGCTAGGAGTCGTTCTGGGATAGATATTTTGAGAATAAAAAAAATATTAAGGATAAACTAGTAAAATTCTTGGTCAAACTAGAAGTGCTTATAAGCTGAAAAACTATAAATTGGCAGGTGACAAACTTATGGCTTTTGGTTGATTTTAGTTACTAGTCTTAGGGTACCCGCATAGCGCGTGTACCCCATATTAATGAATATATAACTTTTATGAATTACATAAATTTAAAAATGTGTTTAAGTTATGAAAAAATGTTTCCTGAAAATGATGAATGTTGATCCCATTTAGCTTAGCTCAATTAAGAAAAAACTTCTACCACATAGAAAGTCATCAGATGTCTTATTGTGATTTCTGAGGACTTCTATGTGGATATCTTATAAAAATTATTGCTATTGTGCGAGTTAATAGAGGGAAGCCCAATGCACTAAGCTCCTGCTATGCGCGGGGTCCGGGGAAGGGTCGGACCACAAGGGTCTATTGTGCGAGTTAATACTGAAAATAAAAGTATTGTAATCCAAAGAACCTATAGATTTATAGAAACTTATAGATTAAATTTAAGGATTCATAGATGTTAAATTTTGATCCAAAGGTTACAATTTCAAATAACACAAATCAAAAATTGACTCAGTTTCAATTTGCTAGTATGTAGGTGTACAGTGCATTTATATCCATGTTGATGATGAGTATACAATTTTGAAAAATTACATAAATGTTACCTTATACTCCCTCCGTTCCAGTTTATGTGAACCTATTTCCTTTTTGGTCCGTTCCAAAAAGAATGAACCCTTTCTAAATTTGGAAACAATTTAGCTTAAACTTCCAATGCTACCCTTAATGAGAAGCTTTTATAACCACACAAATACTCTGGACCCCATTTTAACTTGTTTAGGACCACAAATTCCAAAAGTCTTCATTTTTTCCTTAAACTCCGTGTCCAGTCAAACAGGTTCAAATAAATTGGAACGGAGGGAGTAGTATGTTTGAGTTATGAGATAAAAATTATATTAAAATCATGTTTCTGAAATGTTAAATGTTGTTCCTAAAGCTAGTTAAAGAATGAAGAAATCTGTAAGAGTATAAATCAAATTTTGGAAATGTAGCTTTAGTAGCACAAGTTACTTTTATATAAGAAAAATACTAAATTGATATTTTATATTGGCACCCAACAATAATATTTTTTTGAGAAATACCACGTAAAATTAAATTAGTTCATAGTATATTTCACTATAAGAAACACTATATATATGTGTGTGTGTGTATATATATATATATATATATTTGTAAAAAGTTATCCACATTCCACATATATGCAAGTACATTGTTTATAGCATTGGCTATCTTCACTTCTTTGGCTTTTTTTATCAGCTTACTTTTATTAGTGTGATTTTCTTATTCTCTACTTTACGGTACGTCTATGTTTATTTTACTTTATTTTTCTCTATACGAGACCCATTCAAATTAGCAAAGATCAGACGGTGTTATCAAAGGCGAAAAACGCAAAAAAGCTCTAAGATTTGTTGGGGCTTTAAGCGCAAAGTGCAAATAAAGAGTGGGCTTTAATGATAAAAGGCGCAACTAGAGAAAAAGTAAAAATATGTATTTGTAGTCCAAGACTAATAATTATAAGAATGAATAACAAATATATGGACAAAAAAATTGATTTTTTTTTACGATAAAGTGAAATATCAATTGTGTAATGTTACCTTTTCAGGATTACATTCATTGGTAAGGAAAAGTATGTCTTATAGCCTTGATGCAACAGTAAAGCGCCCACAAAGCAAGGCGAAGTGCTTAACATGTTTTGAGCCTCGCTTCAGGGCTTAAGCGCGCCTTTGACAACACTGAGATCAGACACTTAAAAGTTGAGAGGATATTATACGTTAACATGAGTCTTTATATACTCGCTAATTATATATAAAAAGGAGTCTTTGTCCAATGTCCTAAATTTTTGGATCAGATAAAAATATTGAGAGAGAAAAAAATACACTTCTCACACAAGTTTTCTTCGTTCTATTATTTCTTACTTATCTGCTATCTCCAATCTTTACTTTGTTAACATCATCTAATTAAGAGGAAAATCTTTCCTCTTTAGTACAAAAAAACTAATAGATAAACATATCATTAGATGATGTTACTCCCTACATTTACCTTTAAAAGAGTAAGAATCAAGTTTAATTTCAATTCCATATTACACAAAACCTAACTTTTGTTTGGCCTAACCAATTTTATTAATGCGAAAGTATGACACTTATAATTTCTTTTAAATAAAGCATCTACATATTATATTGATATAGTGTTGATATTATGTATCTTGAGAACACATGAAAAAGAAGAAAATCAGAGAGATCAAAAAAGAGTTTTACCTTCTTGAAATAGTGTCAACCTCTTGCATTGTTCGAGCAAGGTTGAAGACAAAAAATAAAGTTTTTAAAAATGGGTCCACCACCCAATAAAATCCTAGCTCAAATATGGTTGCTTAGGAATCCACTTGAAGATGCCAATATATATGCATATTACGATTTTGATGATTGTTTAGTATTGAAGTTAAGTTAATTGCAGTTAATAGAAAATAAGTTTGTGAATAGATGGTTGTGATAAAAGAGTATGAAGGTTGGTTGGGGAGTGAATTTTTTTCTTACAAGTAAGGTATTTAAATTATTTAAGAGGATATTTTGGTAATTTAACATTTGACTAAAGGGCTTCCTACTTTTAATATAATATAGATAGATAGATGTAGATATTGGTAAGCATTTTGGGTGTTTACCAAGCGCATTGATAAGTCAAAAGGTGCTTATAAGCCAGTTTAACCAGCTTATGAGCTTATAAAGCTTAGCCAAACACCCTCTAAAGCACTCAAGAGTTATTATCAATGTCAAATTTTGCATATTCTATTGCTCTATGGCTAAAGTTCCATATTCCGTTGTTTATATTTCTATCCGGTGTAGATAATGGATTTGGTTGCAGGAACATGAAACATTCATTGATGATGGAATTGCAATAGAGCCTTTTAATCTGGATAAAGAGAGAGAAGAAGGTTATTTTGATGCAGCAGGAAATTATGTTGAATATTTAAATGAAAATGAGATCAAGGTGCTAGTCTTTCATGAAGCATTTTCTATCCCCAGCCCCCAATCCTTGCATCATTTGCTGATCTAGTGAAGTGCGCAGGATGCATGGCTTGATAGTGTTGATACCGAGAAAAGATTTTCTGGGAAGAGTGCTATCAGGATATCAAATGAGGATGAGATTCAAGACCTTACGGCAGAAGAACTAGGAACGATGAAGAGGCGCATTGCTGATGTGCTTGAGCCGGGAGAAACAGTAAGTATTTCCACCTCGTGTTGTCTAGTTTATTATTATTATTATTGTTGTTGTTGTTGTTGCTGCTGCTATTGTTGCTATTTTCTTGTTATTATTTTTCATTATTTTTAATGGATAAGTACTGTTCTGGCATATGTTTGTGGATAATTCTTTTGTAGTCTTCACAATTTTTTTCTTTTGTTTTTTTGAGATTGTAACATTTGTATATGTTAAAGAATAGTACATAGGTTGTACTGAAACCTTATTTACATGAGAACCAAAAATAGAAGACAACTGTTCTAAAATCCTAGCAGGAGCCTAGATTATATATGATTGAGACAGTTTCTGCAGTGTAAACCTGTTTACACCGAAGATTTTAGAACAGTTTACTGAAACCAAAAATAGAAACCATATTTACATGAGAACCAAGAACAGAAGAAAACTGTCCTAAAATCCTAGCATATACACTACAAAAAATATGTTGTACTGAAACCATATTTACATGAGAACCAAAAATAGAAGAAAACTGTTCTAAAATCCTAGCAGGAGCCTAGATTATATACGACTGAGACAGTATTTTCAGTGTAAACCTGTTTACACCACAAACAAAACAGTCTAATACAAACCAGTTTGATCTTTTGTACTGTATATGCTCTCACTTTGTGTTTCCTAATAAACAGTCTTCACAAAATTTTATATGCTCTCTCTTTATTTTTCTTCTGGTGGTTTGAATATGAACTGCATCTGTCTTTGTCATATTTTTTTTTTTTTTGTGATAGGTAATGATTACATGTTGGTTGTTACCTTCTGTTTTTTGCTACAGTTGCTGCTTGCAATTCCAGTTTCTCCATTGTCCAAGCAAAAATTCTTGGTGGCTTTTTGCTGCTTTTTTTAGAAGGGGATAGAAATGTAGAGGCTTCTTTTCTGGTTGATCTTTTAAAATTTAATTGTTATTTAAAGGTTTTTTCTTGATTCTTGGTTGAACAGAAAAAAATGAGGCAAGGCAAGTTACTGAAGGAGTTAGAACAGCACAAGGTGGATTTTATGGGGGTTATTCCCAAGTTACTGAATTTAAGAGTTGTGCCCATATTAGAATCATTACCAGAAACATGTAGGTTAAAACTTTATAATGACCGCAATGTAGTAATTGCCTTATTGGCTTTTTTAGCTGTGTTGCTAGGACTCCGATGCGGGTATCCGACACGGGTGTGGATCTAGAAGTCGGATTCTTCGTCACATAAACTTTAGGATTTGGCGGTATGGATCTAAATGTGGATACGGCCAATTAATATATATTATGATATATAAAGTATAGATTTTTATTAATTAAAGTTATTAAACTGAAACTAATAAAATTTAAATCTTGAAAAGCTCTTAATATTTTATTCATAAGATATCTCGCGTTATAGCAAAGCATTCTCATCTTTAGCGCATATATATATATATATATATATATATATATACCCAAACATCAAATCAAATACCCAATTAATATATACTTCTCGATCATAGATGTAGTCAAAGCACCCAACATAAGTTGGCCAAATCTGGTGTGGATCCTACAACCACACCCATGTTGTGTCGCATGGATGTGGCAGGGATTTTGAAGAGTCCGAGCAACTTAGTTTTCAACCAAAACTTTTGTACCAGTTAGAATAGCACGTCCTGTCGAAAATTTCGCATCCTACAGGAGCTATTTCATCACTAATTGCATCATGGTAGCACATTCACACTAGCTATTTTGCATCTGATAATTTGGTAATTCTTCTTGATTCCTCTGCAAATACTTTCTAAACACTCATTGCTACCCATGCAATAACAAGTAAATTTAGCATATTGTTTGCTGTAGTTGGTCAGTCAGTTACCTGCTTGTTTCCTGTCTCCAAGTTAATGACAAAATGCTATACATTCAAAGTTGGCGCCACACCATTTTATTCCCCCCCCCCCCCCCCCCCCCC